GTTAAAAACTATAAAATTTCTAAAAAAGTGATATTTAACAGAAGTTATTAATCGTTTTCTTTCCAGCTTTAAAGCGTATACTTCAAAATAAAAAATGCTAAGTCCAAAAAATTTTTGCAAACATTATTTATATTTGGACCATTGCCGTCAAATAAAAAAAGAAATCATTTTATTACAACTTTTTTTGGTTACTTTACGTGTAGAAGTCAATTCTTTTTCAAAGAAACTCGATTGTAGTCAACCTGACATCCATTCTGTTTAGTTTCTAGAAGAAAAATTTTACTGTCGCTAAAAATTTTTTTAATATATTTAAAAGAAATTTTCGTTACTTTTTGGAATAAATCGTTAGGTAAAACTGTCAAATTTCTAAAAAAGTTCTATTCAACAAAAGCTATGAAACGTTTTCTTTCAAGCATTAATACTTATACTTACTAATAATAAGTGCTAAGTCCAAAAAATTTTAGCAAACATCATTTATATTTCGACCACTGTAGTAAAATTAAAGAAAAAATCTTTTTATTACACCTTTTTTAGTTTACATTACGTGTAGAATTCAATTCTTTATCGACGAAACTTGATTGTAGTCAACCTGACATCCATTCTTTTTTATTTTCTAATAGCACATTTTTACCGTCGCTACAAATTTTTCAATATATTAAAGAGAAATTTTCCCTGGTTTCTGATTTGAATAATAGTTGAAAGCTATCAGATTTTTAATAAAGTGCTATATACCATAAGCTTTAAAACGTTTTCTTTCAAGTTTTAAAGCGTATAATTACAAATGAAAAGTTTTAAGTTCGATAAAATCTAGCAAATATTATTTACCTTTCAACAACTGCAGTCCAAAAACAGAGAAAAAATCATCTTATTACAACATTTTTTGGCTACTTTACATGTAGAATTCAATTCTTCTTTGACGAAAATCGATTGTAGGCAACCTGACATCCATTCTGTTAAGTTTCTGATAGCACATTTTTACCGTTACTTAAATTTTTTAATATATTTAAGAGAAATTTTCGCTGCTTTCTAGATTGAATAATAGGTAAAAACTTTCGGATTTCTAAAGACGTGCTATATAACAAAAGCTATGAAACGTTTTCTTTCAAGCTTAAAAGCGTGTTCTTACAAATAAAAAGTGTTAAATCCGATTAAATTTAGAAAACATTATTTATATTTCCACAACTGCAGTTCAAAAATGAGAAAAAATCATTTTATTACATCTGTTTTTGGTTACTATATGTAAAGACTTTAATTCTCTTTCGAAGAAACTCGATTGTATTCAAGCTGACATCCATTCTGTCTTGATTTTAATAGTACATTTTACAGTCGCTAAAAATTTTTCAATATATTTAAGAAAAATTTTTGCTGCTTTCTAGAGTAAATAATTGTTTAAATCTATCAAATATCTAAAGAAGTACTATATAACAAAAGCTATAAAACATTTTCTTTCAAGTTTTAAAGCGTATACTAACAAATAAAAAGTGTTAAGTCCAATAAAATCTAGCAAATAACATTTATATTTGGACAACTGCAGTCAACAAAAAGAGAAAAAATCATTTTATTCCTACTTTTTTTGGTTACTTCACGTGTAGAATTCAATTATTTTTCGACAAAATTTGATTGTAGTCAACCAAACATCTATTCTGTTAAGTTTCTAATAGCACATTTTTTCCTTTGCTACAAAATTTTTAATATATTTAAATGAAATTTTTGCTACTTTGTGAATTAAATCGTAGTTTAAAACTATAAAATTTCAATAAATTTGCTATTTAACAGAAGATATGAAACATTTTCTTTCAAGCTTAAAAGCTTATACTTACAAATAAAAAGTAGTAAGTCCGAAAAATTTGGCAAATATCATCTATATTTGGATTACTGCAGTCAAAAAAAAGACAAAATCAATTTTAACGACTTTTTTTGGTTACTTTACGCTTACAATTCAATTCTTTTCGACGAAACTCGATTGTTGTCAACCTGACTTTCATTCTGTCTTGTTCCTAATAGCAAATTTTTACAGTCGCTAAAAATTTTTCAATATATTTAAAGTAAATTTTTGCTGCTTTCTAGATTAAATAATTGTAGAAAACTATCAGATATCTAAAGAAGTGCTATATAACAAATGCTATAAAACGTTTTCTTAGAAGTTTTAAAGCGTATACTAGCAAATAAAAAATGTTAAGTCTAGTAAAATCTAGCAAATAACATTTATATTTTAACAACTGCAGTCCAAAAAAAGGGAAAAATCATTTTATTACAACTTTTTTTTGTTACTTCACGTGTCGAATTCAAATATTTTTCGACGAAATTCGATTGTAGTAAACCTAACATCCATTCTGTTTAGTTTCTAATTGCACATTTTTACCTTTGCTAGCCATTTTTAAATATATTTAAAAGAATTTTTTGCTACTTTGTGAATTTATCGTTGTTTAAAACTATAAAATTTCAATAAATTTGCTATTTAACTGAAGATATGAAAAGTTTTCTTTCAAGTTTTAAAGCGTATAATGTACGATCGGAATCGATCGTGAGCGAGAAATCTACATTTTGTAAAACGCGCATTTAGTCCGATATTAACGACCGTATCCCCACCACTCGGTGCTGAGCGTGTACGCCCTGCTGGGCCCATTATCGAGGACATTCGTTTTATTCTTTCGCCAGACGCTTAAGAGAACAGTTCATTTTCCAGCGAACATAGTAGACGATTCAACATCCCAAGGGTAGTGCGATCACATCCCATGGTCCACGATAGAAAGGTGACGGACCGCAGAGGCGGTAATTAACGGTAAAGAAAGTGAGAGGCGATACGAAACGGTAAGAAAGTTTTTTATTGGTACCAATCATCTTGAACGGATAAACGAGAGGAGCGGTACCACGGGCTTTACCCGTAAGTGACCGCTGGTAGCGAGAAGAGAAGTCAACCACGGGCTTGTCTGTAGTTGATCGTCATTTAACGAGTAACGTAGCAGTCAAACAGGGTTCTTATGCCGTAAGGCTTTTCCCCGACGAGCCAATAAAGCATTAGCACTTTTATTGGCTCAACCACGTGTTTTATTTTGTTCTAATTACCCTTTCACCTTCCTTACAATTAGCTGAATCCAATCGCCGGAGGACTCTATGTTGAAAGAATTTTTTGCAAATACAGTTTGGTGCCTCCTGTGAGGTCTGAATTCCTGATCTCTGGTTTGAGCGAATCTGCGTATCTGGTAGCAGTAGATTGRGAACAACGGATTCAAGAACAACGAGGTTGAGAACATCTACTTCCTGAACAC